TTTCCGCTGAGGCCTTTCCCATTTTCTCTTTCCCTTTTTGAGACGATCCCTCTGTGACTTTCCCTTTATCTGACTTGCCTTGTTTGTGATTTTTTACCCGTTGGCCCTGCGAATCCTTATTTCCCCCTTATTTCCGTACACACTTTCCATAATTTTAGACCCAGACCTTCCTTTCTCGATTTTTCCACCAGCCATGAGATCTCCCTGATTGTCGTCCAAATTTCCTTTCTCTTGGGCCCGATTTCCCCGTCGTGATCGTCGTGTGACCTGCATCCACGGACCGAAACCAGCTTTGTCCTCCGACGTGTCTTCCGAGTTTTTCTCCGGCGACTTGGTAACGGCTCCGACCACAATCGAAAGTGTAGGTTCGCACAGGGATGGGCAGGTCGCTGTCATGTGCCCTACTTTTCCACACTCGAAACACACCTTCGGCAGGTTTTCATACTCTATGTACTGCCATTTGCCATCCAGCCGAATGCGAGTTACCAGGGGTTTAGACAAGTCAAGCTCAACGGCCATCCGGGCGAATTTAACACGTGGTTGATGTTGTGTGTGAAAATCCAGTTTGATTGCTCGCCCTATCATGTTCCCTAATGAGAACAGAATCTCTTGATGGTAGAAATGAATCGGGAAGGCTGAAGCTAAACCCAGACAGCCATCGTCTTCGGCAAGTCATCGGACAGGCGAAACGCCAGCGTCCATTGGAAGACTATACAATAGTGATCGAAGATGGTCCAGGGTCCCTCTGTTAGCGCTCGGGAATAGTCTGTATCATTGTCCAGCTTCACCAAGAAGCACTCTTGCCCTAGCGCCATGATGTCGATCGACCCAGTCGGACGCCACATAGCTTTAAATTTATTGCTGAATGTAAGAAAGGAGATGTTCAACCCCATGGTACGTACCACCAGGGTACGCTTCCATTGGGTACACAGCTTTTCTCTGAAGGCATTAGAGACTTTCAGCTCCGGCTCTCCGTTGAAGGTCCCCGGTATCAAATCATGTTCCCCGACCGGCATCCACGAACTCTTCAATTTGTTGGCTTCTTGGGTCTGCCCTGTTATGATTTTCGCATACGAAACAGGCGGGCACAGCAACGAGGGGAGGTTCGGTGACTCCTTTAGGTAACGGCGGCGGTGAAGGATCTATCATCATGGACGTCTCGTCCGGTCGAAGGTTTGGAGACGCAGCTTCAGTCCCATCTCCTTCCTCTGGGATGGGTTGCAAAACGTCCGGTGGCCTTCCCGATGGGTTGAGATCGGTTGCCAGCGAAACGGGATGAGAGAGCATCTTAGTATCGAGCGAAAAATTAATGTCTTTGTTGATATACACTTGGATATGAGGTGGAGGATTGATATGATTTGTCTCCTGTCATTTATCTCAAATAACCAAAGCAACCCACCTCCCTTTTACCCTAGTGCTACACGGGGTGAAGGAAGTGGCATGATTAGGATACTTTGCCACACCGACTCATTTCACCACCACTTACACGTGGCAAAGGTGAAAATGGTGCAGGCTGACACTCCCTCTTCTCAATCAACTAATCTTTTGATTTAACTTGTTACCTATTTTTTAAGTCTCACCAAGCCACCAAAAGAGCACTTTCTCATGCTTCCAAATACAAGTGGCAAGGTGAACAAGTGTGGGCACGTATAAGCAAGGTAGATAGTAACAAAATGAATTTACAATCCATCACTACTTTCACTCCTACTACATGTGTCTTTATGAGGAGAGAGGTAAGCTTATGAAGTGATACGTTTTTCTTTATTTTGCTAACCAACCATGGCACTTATCTCGGTTGGTTGACATATATGTATTGTTAGTATTTTATTTTTACGAACACGCCACCCACGCCAGAAGCAGGAGGCACCTATAACTAGGATGCTCATTTATGCTTTCTCGGCAGGTCATTTCGGTTTGAACTTCTAAATCTCACTCAAGAGCCGGCTCAATATGCCGCTCCCGGTTACTCTTCTCTCAAATACTGACTTGAGCTTCGGAGCAGGTCCCCGCCGACCACCGCCGGCGGGTTCCTCTTTTGCAGGTGTCCATCTCGGAGGCTGGTGGTGGCCGATGTTGGCCAGGAGGTCAGAGCTCACCGAACCTCAAACATATTGAAGCAGGCTCCTCGGAGCTAGACATCAACAATTATACATTGAATGATAGTGAATATCTATCCGTTTTGAAAGGATAGACTAATGCTAGTTGGATTTCTGATGTTAAAGATCATACTTCAACATAAGGATGGGCCTTCTTGCTTGAGGGAAGTGCCATATTTTGAAATTCTAAAAACTAAACTTACATCACTAGTTCGACTATGAAGTCTTAGTTTGTGGCCTTGGCTTCTACTGGAGAGAGACATAATGGTTAGAGACTTGGTTTATAACATTCTTTTATGAGTTTAACCAATCTTACGTTTTAGTATCTATTGTGAGAGTAATGCCACTTTGGCTAAGGCAAATAGCTAAGTTTATAATGGCAAATAACGTTATTTAGGTGTTAGACATAGTAAAATTCATGAATTAATCACTCGTAGAATTGTGATTATATAGTATGTGCAGACTCGAGATAATTAAGCAAACCATTTTACTAGATTATTAGCTAGAGACTTGGTGGTTGAGTATGAGAAAGGGACTATTTAAACTTTAAAGTTCATATAATTTCATATTATGGGATGCTCAATTTTCCTTTAATATAACGTTAGAGGATAATTCAATGCGGAAAACTCATTATCATAAACTGAGCACATCATTTTTCATCATGAGTCATGTGCTTGTTATCCTTCATGAGAGAAGAAGGACTTTAACAAATTTTAATTGAATCTTTGACAAAGTGTATTATGCAGGTATACGGATAAGATATTCAACCTTCATAAGCATGAATTGCAGTTGCTTCAAGAAACTCGGACTTTGGTTTACTGTAAAATTATGGGAAAGATTGAGACACATCGCTGGTAATAGTCAAGATCACTTAGAAGTTTGGAACACTTAAGTGTATATTATCTTCGGATATCCATTTGAGTATATGGGTGTAATCTTTACTGAAACTCTTATATTCGGATGTTCGTCAAGTGTAATATTGATGCGTGATTGTGGAACTCACGTATCGTGGAACTCGAACTCTTCTACGATAAACTAGGGAAACACGATAAAGATAGCTAAATTACTACTAATTCTACTTGACTCTTATTCATTGATGAAAACTATAGAACAATATACATATTTATAGGACTACTCTCATAAAGCCTTTCCTACCCGAATAAAGTAAACTAGTTCTAACCCAACAAGTAAATAATAACTTTCTCAACAAGACACAATAAACTAATACGAATAACCAAATAACCCAATAATTAACTAACAATTAATCAGGTTTGGTAGACCCCGCTGTCACGTGGGGTTGAGGTTCATGGGTTATCAAAAAATATATATATATGTATTAAAAACCTTATTTAAAACTATGCCAAAAAAAACTAACAATTAATCCCTAATGGCAAAGCCCACTCGGCACCAAGGCCCACGGGTGCTATAATGCACCAAATATATTCATACGTTGGTTTCTTTGCATACTTTGTATTTATTGGTTTGTAATGCAAGTCGTATTGGATTGTACTCCTTGTTCTGGTATTTCATATTGATAGTATTCTTTGTATATAATGTCAAACTGATTTATATACTTTTCTTGTGTGGTTTGTATATATTTTATATTAATTTGTATAGTTTTAATATATGGTTTGTATACTTTGTATTGGTTTATCTTGTGAGTAGTTATATTTTGTATATAATGTCAGCGACTTCCAATCTTCTTCTCTTGCGAAATCGACATCAGCAACTTCCAATCTTCTTCTCCAGTTGAACAAACGATATACGGGACGGGTGAACATTAGTTAAATTCGAGTGTAATTATAAAAAGAAATTACTGGAATTTGAAATAAGTACTTCGACTTTGAGGATTGAATTGTGATTTGTTATATTTTTTGTGTATTAATATTCATGGATGGTTTTTGTGCAAAATCCAAATACCTTTAACATAAAAATTTGGAATTTGAAACCATGATAACGAATACGAATTCCACGATGTGAGTTTGGGGTAACTTACGGGTCGTTTGCTTCATGGATTTGAAAAATGAGGGTTTTGGTAAAACCTGGGTTTTGGAAAACCATGGATATATGATGGATTTGGTGGCATTATAGATTTGAACAAGTCTATTGTTTGCTTGATGGATTTGATTATGGACTTTGTTTGATTAGATTTGTGGATATTAAATAAAATTACCTAGTTACCCTTATTTAATTATATTTCTATATTATAATCCAAATCCTTCATTTAAAACTAATCCAAAACAAAGAAAGAAATTTTAAACTCTTTACCACTATGTGGATTAATAATTCAACTACAAATATAGAAATGTATTACAATTTGGCACTAATTAACAATTCATCTAATAATCCTTCATAAAAAAACAATTCATCTAATAATGTACGCAATAATATGTATCAATTGCAGCCAATTGCTCGCTTTATTGCTACAACTCATCATCTTCTTGCTAACTCACCGATACGGAATCCGACAATCAATCAAGTAATAATGTACAAGATGAGCATAAAGTATTTCTAGGTGAATCTAACAAATCACATATACATTCATATTTAAATAAAATACGATATTACAAAATGAAATGATAAATTCTCATATTTATAAAATACGAAATTATAAAAGTTTACCGTTGCATGACCATTGAATTAAAGTAGGACAAATTTGTAATTAAAGAAATAAGTATGGGTAGAAAGGTAATTTACCATCATGGATTTTAATCCATCACCCAAATCCCACCTCAAGAGGTGGAACTTCCAAGTCCGTGGGGTCCACGGATTTGGAACCCCAAAAGTGGTGGGCCCCACAAATTCCATCTCCCTAATTCCCTAAGGCAAACGATGGATTTCGGTTCAAGTCCATGATGGATATATTTCCATCACCAAATCCATCACCAAAACCCTCAAGCAAACGACTTAAAATAAATCCTCTGAACAAATGTCACACACCGGCTGGCTAGTGTCATTTGCCATCTTATTGTGTTCACAAACTGTACAACCAACCAGCTACACTGCGGAGAAGACAACACACCAAGTTGGGAAGGGAACTCTCGGGGAACTTCATGCTAACTACTAACCGTAAAAGAAAAAGGACATTTCAAGGAAATATACAAAAAACAAACAGTAACATTAAGCACCTCTTGTTCCTTGCAATGCTAATGATGTTCCCCAAGTTTACCCATTGGATTAGGATGTAAGGGTCTTTGGTTTGCTCCCAATACTCTTCCAGGAAACACTGGGCATTATCTGTTTTGTGTCAACACGGTCCTTGTACTTCACTGCAAAGTTGAGCAAGGAATCAAGGAGAGAGTCCGAGAGAAGATGTGGCTGGAGTCCCAACTCGATCAATTTGGTGTGCTTAGCATTGTAGTAATGTTCCTCCGCCTCCACTCTAGGGTTGGGGACAGAGGTTGTCTTCACATCAAGACCAACCTTCTTTCCAGCATTTGTAACAAGGGAAGCAAGTTCATTGACAGAAAACTGCTCCGTGAATTGATTGAAGACCCTGAACTCTCCCGGTCGCCCAGGGTTTGCAATTGCAAGTTCAACACATTGCACTGTATCCCTTATGTCGAGGTAACCCCGGGTCTGCACCATGAAGTAGGCAGAAGACCAGTTTAGATAACATGTCAAGTAGATAGCAGTACTTTTACCACCTGATGTTTATTAATAAACAGAACATCCAATTCCTAGTTGCATATAAGATGTAAAACTTGCATGACATACATTTCACCCATATTAAACAAATGGCATTCCAAAAGCATCTAGAGCGGGAGAAGTATGACAAACAGACACTTCCCCAAAGGACAATGTTAGAGACCAGGAGCTGGGACCATAAAGCATATGTGTTGGAACAAAGCAAATGGATCAAGCTACTTATAAGCAGCAATTATCTTAGTGCCGATTCAACCCTAATCTATACAATTGCTAAAGGACATTGCAGGGAGTATAAATAGTATAGAGAAAGCACATGGCGAGAAGATACTGTGTTCTCAGAAAAGATGTAAAAACAAGCTGATAACAAAGAAGTCATACCTGACCACCTTTACCATATACAGTAAGCGGATGTCCAACTGCAGCCTGGACACAAAAACGATTTAATGCAGTTCCAAAGACAGCATCATAGTCAAGTCTGTTCTGCAGCTCTTCATGCATCTCAGTCTCTTCTGTTCTTACTCCATAGACAACTCCTTGATTGAGATCGGTAGCCCTAATTCCCCAAGCTTTGCAAGTGAATGCAATGTTGTGTGAGTCATGCACCTTGCTAAGATGATAAAAGGAACTAGCTTGCTTAGGATAAGGCAATGTGTCTGTTCGACCATTGTGGGTTATTGTAATATAACCTTCTTCAATATCAATGTTAGGGGTTCCATATTCTCCCATTGTTCCCAGCTTCACTAGGTGGCAATCCTGTTGGAATTCCTTGATAGCAAAGAGGACATTAAGCGTTCCAATCACATTGTTGTGCTGAGTAAAGATAGCTCTAGATCGATCAATCATCGAATAAGGAGCAGACCGCTGCTCCCCAAAATGGACAGCAGCATCAGGTTGGAATGACCTGAAGGCTTCTTCTAAGAATTCGAAGTCACAAATGTCACCAACGTAGAGCTCAATAGTCTTCCCTGTTAGAGACTTCCATCGGCGAATCCTATTGTGAATGGAAGCAATTGGGGTGAGAGAGTCTAGACCCAGTTGGTGATCGAAGAGGCGGCGTACAAGACTATCGACAATGGCTACCTCATAACCTTTGTTTGAGAGATGGAGGGCAGTAGCCCAGCCGCAGTAACCATCCCCACCAATGACCATAACCTTCTGTGCTTTGGGAAGTCCATCCGCCGCGGCAGCCTGGGAGCTACCAGATCTGGGATTAGTAGCAGGAGCTTCTCGGCTGGCAGGGACTGCAGCAGCAGCACGAACAATACAGCTTCGATGTGACGATGGATCTTGCTGCAAGACCAGCCCATTACACTTGTAACCAGAGGTTTTGAATGTGAAACATCGAGGATAATCTGTTGTGTGCTGTTGACTTGTAGATTGTGTGAAAGGGCGGCTGAAGCATGACTTCAGGGTGCTAGAAGTTGAAAGCAAGTGCGGCATCTTTTCGAAGTTTATATACTACAGGGAAATCTGCGGAAAACCAGCGAAAGTACAGAGCTTTGGTAACCATATTCACAATTCATCTTCATTAGGGTACAGAAGGAAGAACTCAGGAGAACTCCATACAGTCAAAAGGATTCCCACATTTTGACGATAAAAAAAAATTCCTAAATTACCAGAGCATTAGTCGGAAACAGGGCAATGATCTGTTTCCACATGAGCTTAATTAATTTTTTTAGCAGAGCAGCCATGGAAAAGAAGAAAAGAGGTTGTAAGGAAAGGTATTACCTTAGACGGTCGGCAAGAAGCAGAGAATCCTCGTTAGGGTTTGGACTGGGAGTGTTAGCGAAAGGTCTTGGTGAATTGCCAAGGCGGAGAGTTCACAGTACTGCAACAAAGAAGGGAAACGAAGCAGCTGGGAGCATATTCTTTTTATCCGCTGAAGATGACGATTTATTCTCTCCAGAAAACAAAACACCCTCTGTTATTAACTTACGAGAAGGTAAGGCCGCGCTTCGCAGCGGGCTTCGCTAAAGATTGGGCCACTTTATTATTAATTAATTATTAATATATATAAAAGCCTATTCATTAGTAACTCTCAATTAGGGATGGCAATGGGTCGGGTTGGGTCGGGTTTGGCTGGGTCGGGTTTTGCCAAACTCAAATTTATCTTTAAAAAAAACCCGGGGTAAAACCCACTGGGTTTGAAAAACTCAAACCCAACCCAACCCGTTGGGTATCCGCGGGTTCATGGGTATCCACGAGTTTTGTCGTAAAAAATTTACAATTACAAGTTCTTATCAAAATTTAAGTCAAATATCAATTTCTCAATACAACTTATCCATATATAAAACACCATTCTAGAAAATTCAAGCAAATCACAAATTAACTATACAAATTGTTCAACACCGATCTAGAAAACTCAAGAAAATTGAAGCAAATCACAAATTATCCATAAATAACATGTTTAATTGAAAGCTTCTTCCTTTCAATTAAGTTTCTTTACTCTCTACTCCATAACATCAACTTCATTCTACACAATTAAAAAGAAAAAATTAGACATGTCTCCACAAACATAAATAAGATTAGTTGTTTAGAATATTAAATATACCGAAAAAATTAATTATATGGGTGGGCGGGTACCCACGGGCCGGGTTTACCTAAACCCAAACCCAACCCAACCCGGTGAATAGTGAACGGGTTTAAACCAAAACCCGGCCCAAAACCCGTCAACACGGATTTTACCCGCGTTGACCGGGTTGGATCGGGTGGGTACCCGTGGGTTCGGGTTTTGTTTGCCATCCCTACTCTCAATCTCCTCTAAGTGCAAGTGGAAAAGTTCCAAGGCCTTCTTTTACCCCACTCTTCATTCTACAACCTTTCTGTTTAGTTATTGTCCGCTAGCTTTTCGTCTATAGTTTTTTGCATAATCTTTTACCCCTCTCCATTCTACAACCTTTGTGTTTAGTTATTGTTCGCTAGGTTTTCGTCTATTGCTTTTTGCACAAATCATGGTCTTTGTCCACCATTTTGCAGCTAATCCCGAAATACCTTCGTCGGAATTCTAAGTAGTTCTCCACCACCGTTTCTCAAGGCCGCTACCACGAGTTTTGTATTAGGATCGAGTTTCATCCTCTTTAGTTTTTTCTTTCTCTTTTTCCTTTTTGTGACCATGATCACAATTGAACACAAACACATGGGTATCCTAACTTGAACACAAACCATCGCCTTTGCCCACCATTTTGCAGCTTGTCGAAGAAATCCTAAGTTGTTCCCCCTATCGTTTTCCAAGATCGCTACTATGAGTTTTGTATAGGGACCGATTATCATCCTCTTTAGTGTTTTTTCTCTCTTTTTCATTTTTTTGATCACGATCACAATTGAACCCAAAAACATGGGTATCCTAACTTGAACCCCAACACATGAGTGTTCGCTAGGTTTACATCTATTTTCCATTTTGTTTCCCATAATAATTATTGCCTACTAGGTCAGCTCCCTATTGCAACAACTATCCACTTTTCGCACCATTTCGCAACCCAACTTGAAACACTGTCGGTGGAATCCCGAGTTGTCCTCTTCCACCGTTTGCCATAATCGTGCCCACCATTTTGCAGTCCATCTGGTAATCTATCGGCGGAATCCTAAGTTGTTCTCCACCACCGTTTCCCAAGGCCTCTACCACGAGTTTTGTATTGGGACCGAGTCCCATCCTCTTTAGTGTTTTTTTTTTCTTTCTCTTTGTCTGTTTTGTTGAGCATGATCACAATTGGACCCAAACACATGGGTGTTCGCTAGGTTTACATCTATTGTCCATTGTGTTTCCCATAACAATTATTGCCTACTATGTTTTCAGCTCCCTATTGCAGCAACTATCCACTTTTCACACCATTTCGCGACCCGACTCGAAACACTGTCGGTGGAATCCTGATTTGTCATCTTCCACCGTTTGCCATAGTCGCAACCAAAGATCCATAATAGATATGCTCCGTCAAATCCTCAACATCGCTCAACAATTCACAACCTACTCAAAACACTATCAACAGAATTCTTAGTTGTCTCCCTCCACCATTTCCCAATGCCGCTACCGAAAATCCAAACCATATCTACTCAATGTTGACGATTTTTGTATCAGGACCGAGTTTCGTCCGCTTTAGTGTTTTTTTTCTTTCACTTTTTTCCTTTTTATGAGCATGATCACAATTGAACCCAAATCCATGGGTATCCAACCTAATTCGATCCGGTCAAAGAGACTTGATACCGACTTTAGCATTTATAAATTTCTTTTTTCTTCTTCTTTTGGTTGAGAAGACAATTGAACCCGAAACTAAGGTATTGACGAGTGTTGTATTTTGAGCTAGCTTTATCCGCTTTTGTAATTGGCAGGATGGACCAAGTGTTAATTTGTTAAAAGAATGTTCAAAGCGAGTTGAACGCGTTGTTGACCAGTTTTAGATCGAAAGCTAGTTTTGTACGCTTTAATATTTTTTTATTTTTTATTTTCCTTTTCGTTGAGAATGACAATTGAACTGTGACCCATTGTTGGCGTGATTCGTATCGAGAGCGAGTTTTATCCGCTTTTATAATTGACAGGTTGGGTAACTTGTGAATTTGTTAAAACTGGGTCGACCCGGTCAAAGCGAGTTGAATCGTAGTGTTGAGAGTTTGGGGTCATGAACGAGTTTTATCCGCTTTAGTATTTTTTATCTTTTTCCTTTTGGTTGAGAATGACAATTGAGTCCAAACGCATGGGTATACAACCTAATTCGACCCGACCAAAGCCACTTGAACCTGTTTTTACAGGTTTTCGATGGGAGCGAGTTTTATCTATTTTGTAATTATTGGGTTGTGTCAGGAAGGTCAAAGCGAGTTGAACTTGGTGTTTACGAGTTTTGAGTCGGTAGCGAGTTTTTGCTTTAGTGTTTTTCATTTCACCTTTTCCTTTTGTTTGACAAAGACAATTGAACACAAATCCATGGGTATCCAACCTAATTTCTCCCTATCAATGCGAGTTGAACCTGCTCAAACCTGCAATCAGTCCAAAAATTTCAGAAAGGAGAATCATGATTACCTCAAACAAAAAAAAGCCAACACAGTACAACTATATTTGGGCCGAATTTTAGAAGTTGTATGTTTCAAAAGTTGAAACCAAGCCAAACACCTCTAAAGTTTCGCTTTCTAAAAAGCTGGAGTTTTTCGTAACTTAAAAGCATAAGCTCTGATTTGAAAATACAAAATTATCCTTACCATATATTATTCTTTTTCTAGAAAACAAAATTTCCTTTATTTATATCATTATAAAAAATTGAAAAATAGTATTATTTAATATAAAATAAATCTAACTTGATTGTAACACCCTTACTTTACATTACAAAACGTAACTGTAAAATACATCGAGTTTAAACATTCTCGGGCACGAGCTTATATATCTATTTTTTTACAAACTTCAAACCATAATTTACATTGGCAACAGAGTCAAAACAGAAAACCGGGGAAGTCTGCTTTATTACAAAATCCACACAACATAAAACATTTAAGGAGTTCGGAGTCCTCCGCCCACCTCATGGCTTCCCTTCAAGCTTGAGTCCCGATATCTACAATACACACCTTACTACTGCTCTTGATATGAGGAAAAATGGTGACGAAGGATGAGTCGTCGCTCAGTGAATAAATTCTAAGCTCAGATCGACATCAATACAAAAACAGTATTGGGCAGAAACACCCTAGCACATAACAGGACTTAAGTTTTTTATCACACTTTTCATTCCACTGAATCTATCAAGTACACATGTTCACATCCCATCTCAGTAAAAACACATAAAACAGATGACAGACAAAGGCATTTTGCTTATACAATTTCACTTTCAAATTTGCTAAATGATATCCTCCCCGAGTAGTACAGTAGTGGAAGGCTGCAGGGTAACCATGTACATCCATCAGGTAACAGGAGTATCGCGGATGCAACCCGAACCGATACAAAATAGGAGTCGCCACGCAGTGGCGGAGCCAAAAATTGGCCAAGGGGTGCTTGTTCATGTAATAAAAAGTCAACTATTTAATAAAAAGTCAACTTTAAACGAAAATATGATGTCAATAACATAATACCCAAGATTCGTACAATTACATAATAATAGTTCTACACACATCGCCTACAATGAACCTCGACGAGATTTCATATTCTGAAAGCATTCTAGAACACATTTCTTGTCCAAACTAGCACACAAATCTTGTTCAATATATGTCACCATCGCATCATTCAACCATTCATCCGATTCCGAAGATCATTCTTGATATATTTCATGGATGAAAATGATCTCTCCACACTTGCAGTTGCAACTGGAAGAATAAGTGTCAACTTGAGAAGAAAATAAACATGTGGATACAATTTGTGCTTTTTTGTTTCCACCATCTTTTTTGCTAACTCATCAACTCATTGTAAGTCTTTGAACCTGTCATCAAATGGTAGATCACAGATATAGGAATTCAATTGATGCCCCAAAAATTTCATAACACTTGGAGTGAACTCATAGGGGTAGAAAGTGGCAAGCTGCATAAGTTTCTCCTTGTCAAAAGCAGCAAATGAATCCTGTGGACTTAAGCAAGCCATAGACAACAACAACTGACAATGGACCTCGTCAAATCAATTATTAATCTCTTGCAATTGCATATCTATGATGGTGTAAAATACCTCAACCTGAAAGTTATGTAAGCATGTGACTCGTTCACTTATGCACTTCGACTTTCCACGATGAACATATATGTCATCGATGTTAGGAACTTCAATAGATTCTTGAGCACAAAAGTGTATCGTCTCTTTAAAGAGAAGCTCCCATCCACTATCCCTCATTTCCTGCATCTGTCTTTTAGAAACATTCACAAGATGCACAGCATTAACAATATCTTGGTCTTTATTATGCAAATCTATAGACAACTCATTAGTGATTGCCAATACCTCGATCATCAACTTCATCATGAATACAAACTCAAAATCTTCAAGTTGAATCAACACAAGAGATGCTTGAGCAACTGCTTTTCTATCTCCTTCAAGATTTTTCAAAGTGTCAACCAATGTTGAAAACAAGGTTTCTAAGTTAACCAATGTCCCAAAATGGGATCCCCAACGAGTATCAGAAGGCCTCTTAATACCAATTTCCTGATTTAATCCACGCCCAGTCTCCAATTCACCTGATGCAATAGCTTCTTCAACTTTGCTAGATTGAGTTTCACGAATGATATCCTGTCTTTTACATGATGCCCCAACCAAATTAGTCACTGTGCCAACAATAAAAAAGAAGAGATTGACATCATCATGATTTTGGGCAACAGCAACAAGAGCTAATTGAAGTCGATGCGCAAAACAGTGAATATAATATGCAGATGGCCTTTCTTCCAAAATTAAAGTCTTCAGTCCATTAATTTCACCTTTCATATTGGGGACTAGATACTATAACAACACTCCTTGTGTTGTTATTGTAACAACACTAGTCTCCAACCAATAGGAAGCTAAGGTTGTGATGACTTTTTATTAGATGAGTTGACCTAGTGTAAAATCAAAGCAGGGGTATAATTGTCATTATGAAAAATATGTTTAAATAATAAAAAAAATAAAAAAAATATATTTTTTTATTTTTTCGGTCCAAAATTTTGATCGCCGGAATTCTGTCAACGGTTGCCGGAAAATGGTCGCCGGTCACCGGAATATGCTTTTCGTCGCCGGAATATGCTATTTTGTCATCGGAATATGCCACCGTCGCCGGAATATGCTCACCGTGGTCGGAATATGCTTACCGGCGTCGGAATCTAGTCATCGGGGCCGGAATATGCCTATCGGCGCCGGAATCTGGTAACTGACGATCATCGGAGTTTGGTCAACGATTTTCGTTGACCAGTCAACGGTCTTCGTTGACCGGTCAACGACCAACGACCACCGGATGTTATGGTCTGCATTGTGAGATTTATGGTTTGGTTTCTCATATTTTTGTATGCCTTTTGTGGTTTGCTTTATCGTGTTTGTGGTTTGCATTAAGAAGTTTCTGGTTTGCTTTATCGTGTTTGTGGTTTGCATTGAGAATTTTCTGGTTTGCTTTCAAAAATTCTGTGGTTTGCTTTGCGGGGTTTCTGGTTTATTTTAGGAGATTTGTGGTATGCATTAGGAGGTTTCTGGTTTTTTTTTTTGTGGTTTGCTTTAACGTATTTGTGGTTTGCATTATGAAGTTTCTGGTGTGTTTTTGAAAATTATGTGGTTTGCTTTGTGAGGTTTCTGGTTTGTTTTAATTAATTTTTTGTCTGCATTAGGACGTTTCTAGTTTGTTTTTGTGGTTTGCTTTACGATGTTTGTGGTTTGCGTTATGAGTTTTCTGGTGTGCTTTCAAAATATTTGTGGTTTGGTTTGTCGGGTTTCTGGTTTGTTTTACGGAATTTGTGGCATGCATTGGGAGGTTTCTGGTATACTTTTTTGTGGTTTGTTTTACCGTCTTTGTGGTTTGTTTTATGAAGTTTCTGGTGTGCTTTAAAAATATTTGTGGTTTGCTTTGTGGTGTTTCTGGTATGCTTTTGGAGACTTGTGGTTTGCATTTGAAGATTTCTAGTAAGCATTTTATGATTTATTTTACCATATTTGTAGTTTATATTAGGAAATTTTTTATGTGCTTAAGAGATACTTGTGATCTGCATATCAATAACTCCTAACTACATACCATAAACATAATAACACATACCAAAAATACCTAAAATACATTAAAAGAACCATCAAAACCATATAAAATCCTCAATATATATTGATCTATTGATCTGGACACATTACCAAAAAAAAATATAATTGCAGTTTCACTTTGTTGATTCCTAATACATTTCAATATATATTGATCTATACTACTGCTTAGTCATAGAGCTGTTTAGCAGACTGAGTTCTTTGCTTCTTGTTCTCCAACTTGGCAACTTTCTCGAAGGACTGCTCGGTCTTGAAGACGGCCTTTTCCAGGGCTTTCTTCTTGCGAACGTTCATCGGCCTTCCCTTCTGCATTCTGCTCCGGACGAACAGCACAACCATGGACAAATTTGAGCTAAATACACAAAATGCTTTCGATCTGCTTTACTCATTCAGCCTCCGTCGATGCTGATTTCAGGATCGTATCCATACATGACGATGAGCAGCTCATTTTTATTTATTTCTTCTTCCCACCGACGGGCTAAATTCAGGGAAGGAGTAGACCCGCAAAATTATTGAGCAAATAGCCTTAGCCAGAGGTAGATGACAACTGACTAACCTGGACTCATGTACAGAACCCCTCCGATCGGCGACGCCGTGACCCTGAATGACGGTGACGGTCGACATCGGGAGGGAGACTAGCTCGGATCTGGAACAACACACATCGAAGCCGTTGGAGAAGAATCGGCCCTGGGATGAGGTGAAGAGGATCGAGCCCCTAGTGGCCTGGGATTTGGCTTGGCGGAGGGATGAGAGGACAGTGGCGATTACGGCCGGGCTGAGATGGTGGTCGCCGTTGTCGTCGAACCGAACGACGACGAACTCGTGGTGCCGCCGCTGCAATTGTTGGGAAGAATAGAGAGATATGGCGTAGCAGATTTGTTAGAGGAAGCGGAGATTGGTGCCGCCGCGTTTTGGATTTTAATTCAACTTTTAATTTTATCAATTTACCCTTATACCCTTGTTGTTATACTAACAACACAAGGACTGTTGTTATGCTATCCGGTCCCTTCATATTGCTAGCTCCATCATAGCCTTGGCCCCTTACTCTTGAGATACTCACTCCATGTTTAGTAAGCATTGATTCAATTACCTTCTTGAGAGACACTGCTTTAGTATCACTAACATGTGAAACACCAAAAAATCTCTCAATAACACATCCTTTTTCATTCACATAGCGTAAAACAACACCCATTTGCTCCTTCACTGACACATCTCGAGATTCATATGCCAATATGGCAAAGAAGTCATCAGCAATATCCATGGTGATTAACTTCGTCGTTTCAAGAGCCAATGCATGAACAATGTCCTTTTGAATGTCTAGAGAAGTTAGTTGATGATTCTTTGGAGCATTTTCCATCACAACTCTTTTGACATGTTCTATATCACTAGCATAAAACTCAAACGGAGACAAGAATAAACCTCTATTATTTGAACCTCCTGACTCATCATGTCCACGAAATGGCAATCCATGCTTTAACAATCAATTTATGCATTTAACTGAAGCCTCTAATTGAATTCGATAATCCATTTTAGTTTGATCAGATTGTTTATCAAAAGCAATATGAATACTTTGTGATTGCTGCATCAAAGCTTCACCCATCCTCCGACAATCATTGTGAGCACTATTAATATCGCCAACATGTTTTGCCAACCTCTCATTCTTAGTCCAATTTGTAAAACCCTCTCCAATGAAACTATCACCACCACCTTTCTTTCCAATTTCATGTCTGAAAAGAAAATGATTCAAACAATATGCAGCATCTTCCTCAATACTGTATTCTAGCCATTTATATTGATCAAACCAAGAAGGATTGAACCTTCGCCTCCTTTCACCAAACTCCCTAAATGGAAAAGCATGTGAACGAGGTTGATAGGGACCTTTTAAGAGGTAGGCTCTTCTAATTTCATCTTGCACATTAGGATGAAAAATATATATTTTCTTTCTTAAACCAGGATCGGCTTGAAGAGAAACTCCATTAATCTTCCATTATTCAGAAAGAGAGGGAGACTTACTTTGAAGTTCTTCTATAAGTTGAGGTTCTTGTGATTTTCTCGATCGATTTACTGATGAAGATTGTATGCACGGTTGGGGAAAAGTTGCAGCTTGCTTGCTACCTCGTGATTCCGTCTCTTCCATTTCCGGAGACGTAATTTTTTCTTTTCTCGAATAATATCTCTTCATCTAATTTAATAATGAAAATAAACTTCATTATATGACTAATTCAGTCCATGTTCTTAATTTGAAGATGAAATTGAGTATACCAAACACACAAACCTAACCCTAAATTAACACAAATAACAAAACTTCAAGTAATAGAAATTAAAACTTAGATTTACCTTGTTTTTAAGATTGATGATGTGAGCCAAAGCAATTTTTGTTCTGCCGGCTTGTTGCTCCAATGCTCCCCTGCCCTGCTCACGATTGAAAAGAGAAGGAAGCTTGGAGGTCAGCCAGTGCTTGGAGGTCGGCGAGCTTGGAGGGCGGTGGGTGGAGGTTTGGCGAGCTTGAAGCCGAAGATGGAGAGCTTGGAGGGTAGACTCGCCGCCGTTGGAGCCTTGGAGAATGGAAGCTTCAAGCTTGGAGGTCGGCGAGCCGCGAGTGCACTTGCAGCGCCTCTGCTGCTGGCTGTTGCTGGGTTGTGGAAAAAAACGAAAGTGAATTGGGGATTTCTGCCTGGGATCGACGACAGTGTTTTGATATTAGGACAGATAATTACTATTGGTATAATTAAAAGTGTGTGTCTAATAAATCAAAATTCTGTTCTAGCAAAGATGGTGGGATTGCTTACCATCAATTATGGGGTTAGAGGTTCGATCCATAGCACTCACCATATATGCTCAGTTTTTTTTTCCCCACAGCCAAGGGGGCTGCATGCACCCCCCTCCATTATGCACAGCTCCTCCACTGTCGCCACGGGATTACCCCAACCCGGCTAACTGAACAGAACAGGAGTATCGTGGGTCATCACCTAATCGGCACGGTGCAGAGCACAAGCGCTCAAACATGAGTATCGTGGGGGTTTACCCATATCGATACAAACAAGACACACTACTATACCGAGGTATCATGTAGCCCTTTTACTTATTCTTATGTATTCACATCTTGTCATTAATAGTTCATTTAGACACATGTCAATAATCACTAACCCGTAGGCTCACTTATACACTATATGCTCAGAAGCATTTATAGTGCTTTTGCACCCTCAGTCACAGCAAAATGGAATGTAAGCTAAGGAGCTTACTCCGAGTTATTCAAGTAGAACAGGATTAGTAAGCCTAATGGCTTACTCCAAATTTAAGTAGACAAGACGGGTTCGCAAGTTCGACTACTTACTCATAATCCACAAAATAAATCAACAAAACCAACACATATGATAATTTCATTCCACTTCATGATCACTCAACGATTTTCATTATTAGATCATATAACCATGCTAATCTACAAAATGTCAGTTGCAGAGGCAACAATGATTTGCATAGGCACAATAGAAATTTGAAGAGGCATACACACGATCAACCAACAAAATGTCTTTCCATATCTCATCCACAATTCATGCATTTCCAACTTCATACCAAATGCAGATGATGAATATGCACCAATAAATTATGGTCACTAAAGTAACCATATCACATATAATTTTCCATAAATTTACATATTATACAGGAGCCGCTTCATGACCCCGATATATATTCGGGCCGCTTCATGACCCGAATACTGTTATTATGTTGAAGTAGATCTAAGATTAGAATCTACTCACAATTTTTTCTTCACTCGGCTATGGCGTTGCCTTTGGATGAGCCCCCGGCTTGCTCCTTACCTTTATATACAGAATTTTCAGGTTATTCAAACATCAAGATACGTATAAAGTCATCATAATCATGGTTGTGTTCATGCATGTCGATAAGGCCACTAGGGAAGTTGTACGACCGTACACTTTAACCTGCTTCACCACTTTGGTCATTTCTCCCTTGATACTTAACCAAATCAGTTGATTCTTATTGATACTAAAACTAAATTCATAGGGCTACCACATATCCAAATTTCATACCATTTGGAGCAGCCGTTTGAGCCCGACAATCATTTTAAGTTGACGTTTCACAACTAGCAGCTACTTTCTTTTCACTTCAAATCAAACTCCCCTACTTCTAACAATTGTTCCTGACCACTCCGAAATAAAAACTACGTTTAGAACGGTAAATTGGAAGAAACCAATATACTAAACATTGTACCAAATTTCTAGAATGATCCAACGACTGGTTCGAATCGGATCTTACCTCTAATCTGTTGTCCTGCTAAAGGAAAACAGTGTTGCACCCCTTCTGTCCAGCGGCATTCCTCAATGAACCAGCGATCATAACAATTATCCCAACGGTCCAATCGTAGATAAAGAAGTATGGACTACAACCTCCAAACCTCAGGACGATCCAACGATTCCAGTGTCCGAAATCTTCATTCCCACAGGTTGTCCTGCTGCTGGACGAAAGATGGCACCCCCTACGTTTCCTTCTTCTTCTTCTTCCTCTCCTTGATGATCCTTTTTTTCTATCTCTCTGCTCCTTGTTTATGAAAATGGGGATAGTGATTTTTGGGTGGTGAAACCAGGTGGAAGAAGAAGAGAAAGAGAGGGACGTGGGAGAGAGTGAGGGAAAGAGATGAGAAGAAAATGAGAAAGAAGAGGGAAGGGGAAGATTTTTATCACCCCTTCTCTAGAATTCTCCAATCCTCCAAATTTCCCATTTGGCCCTAAACTTTCCTTCTTTTGCAATTAAGTCTAAAACTTTCACCATTCACTTTCTTTTTGGTTCAAAAGACCAATTTTTGTAACTCGATCACAAACACGTCATTATGACGTAATAATTAGTACGAGCGTAAGGATGTTACATTTCCTCCCGTCTAAATAAAATTTTGTCCGGAAATTTATCTTGAAACAAGTAGGGGTATGTGCTCTTATGCTTTCTTCCGTCTCCCGCGTGGCTTCTTCTCCAGTATGACATTTCCAAATTACTTTCACCATAGGAATACTTCGATTCTTAAGTTGTTTCATCTTTCGATCCATTATCTCTTTTGGTTCCTCCGCATAGCTTAGATCTTTCTAGACCTCAATCTTATCTAGTTCTAGTACACGAGACGGGTTCGATCGGTATCTTCGAAGCAAACTGACATGGAAAAACTGACATGGAAGACATTGTGACCTTGAGACAATTCTGGTGGTAAGGCAATTCGATAGGCTACTAGACCTATCTTTTCCAGAATCTCATAAGGTCCGATATACCTCAGACTTAACTTACCCTTCTTCTGGAATCTCAAAACACCTCTCCACGGAGACACTTTCACAAAATACTTTCTCTCCACTTTGGAATTCCATCTCTCTTTGGTGGATATCAGCATAGCTCATTTGCCGGTCTTGTGTGGCCTTCAACCAGCTTCTGATCACTTTAATCTTATCCACTTTCACCTGAACGATTGCCGGTCCCTCCAATTGGCTTAACCCTTCCTCATCTCAGCACACTGGGGATCTGCATTTCCTTCCATATAGAGCTTCATATGGAGCCATACCAATACTACTCTGGTACTGGTTGTTATAAGCAAATTCAATCAGTGGCAAATGTTCATCCCAAGAACCTTGGAAATTTAGTACACAAGCTCGCAACATTTCCTCAAGAGTGAGTATTGTTCGCTCGGATTGACCATCAGTCTGGGGATGAAAAGCGGTTGAAAAGTTCAGACGAGTACCCAGTGCTTCTTGCAAACATTTCCAAAATCGAGAAGTGAACCTCGGATCTTATTCAGAGACGATGGTACTGGTACTCCATGTAGTCTCACTATTTCCTCCACATACTTCTTTGTCAGTAACTCTAACGAACAACCCCATCTAATGGGTATAAAGTGGGCCGACTTTGCAATCGGTCCACAATAACCCAAACGACATCGTTCTTCTTCTGAGTGCTAGGTAGACCATAGAAAAAGTCCATTTTAACATTTTTCCCATTTCCATTCTGGAATGGACAGTGGTTGCAATTTTCCCGTTGTGGCTTGATGTTTAGCTTTCACTTTCTGACATACCAGATACTTCAAGACATGTTCAGCCACTTCTTTCTTCATCCTTGGCCACCAATAATGAGATCTCAACGGACGGTACATTTTTGTCATTCTAGGATGCATTGCATAAGGAGAGGAATGAGCTTCTTCCAAAATTTTCCTTCGCAATTCATCCTTATTTGGAGCACAGAGTCTTTCATTTAGTGTTAGAACTCCATCTCGAAGTGTGAATTTGGTTTCTTCCCCTTTACGAGTCTTATCAATAATCTTCCTCAATTCAGGATCTTGATCCTCAACTTTCATAATTCTTTCTCTCA